ATTTCCGCCTCCAGTCTATTATGATGAAGATGGAATTGCCAATGTACTTGCTATGCGCGAGATGATTGCTGCGGGATACCGCATTACCATGGATACTGATTTTGACAATGCCTTTGTTGTGCATTGCGATCATGGAGACAGACAGATGCGATTTGTGAATTGTAAGGGTGTATATGTGTTGGAGCAACTTTGAGCGGATGTCGAACCAGGTGCCAAAGAGACAAGTGCGATGTATCGCCAGTTAAGCAGCGTAAATAAACAACCCCATTTCGAACTTTCTTCAAAACAGAATGGATATGCTGGACTTGGGATGACTCCAAAGATGGCAACAGTTCGAAAGAACAAGGAAGGATTCACTCCAAGACAAGTCAAGGCTGCGATGGAAGCAAGAAGTGCAATGCAAATACTCAATGCTCCAAGCACCAAAAGTCTGAAGTATGCGATCCGATCTGGTCTCATCAAGAACTGTCCTATCACTGAAGAAGCGATCAATCATGCCGAAGCAATATTTGGACCTGACGCCTCTACATTGAAAGGCAAGTCAACAAGACCAACTCCGAAGAAGACGTATGACGACTTCTTCAGTCCACCAGAGGAATTGTATCAACATAATCGATCTATTACCGTCTGTATTGATCACATGAAGATCGAGAATGCTAAGTTTCTCACCTGCATTGATACCACTGTGCGTTATCGCTCATGTATTCCCATGCAGAACCTGAAGACTGACCCTGTATTTGAAGCATTGGATAAGATATTCCGCTGCTACAACAAGGCAGGCTTTCAAGTCAAGATCATCAAGTGTGATCGGGCATTCATTCCTCTCACGGATGATATGCTAGATGATATGGGTGTTACTATTGACCCGACTGCAGCTGGAGACCACGAGCCTACCGCTGAGCGAAACAATTGAACACTGAGAAAGAGTTAGAGTAGCTCTTGCACGATCACCCTACAAAGTGGTACCAAAGGTGATTTTGCGGTGCATCCAGCCCATATATAGCACATAGTACCCGCACATAGATTACTCGCTTTCCGTTCTCTAATACAACGTATTCGCGATACTCTGGGGCCATGTCAATCAATATCTGGACCATCATGCCTGTAATTTTCATGTAGATACGATATTTTCTTTCCTTAGCTTCAGGCATATAAGTTTGAATGAAAGCGTTAGGAACGTCCAGCGTCATTATATCTCTACCTTCGTGTGCATCAATAACACAAGTAGTGGTGATTGCTTCTTGCAAAGCAGTTGGACTTGCAGTGTCCTCTCGCGATAACCATTCACGAGTTCCATCGCCTCGGTATACTAGGCGACCTTTAATTATTTCTTTATCACAGATCAAGTTGAGAAAGGAAATGTTAAGATCGAATACTGTCCAACTGACAATATGATTGCGGATTTTATGACTAAGCCATTGCAAGGTGAGAAGTTTTGCAAGTTCGGGGATCTGATTCTTGGTCCACAGGACTAGGTCAGACAAGTATGCATATGTTCAAAATGAAAATACAAAACAAAAATAAACAGTGAATGAGAGCATGTCCCATTGCTGCCAATGATGATTGTCGCAATGGCAGGAGTGTGTTGGGATATGACGAAATATGAGTTTTTACGTTCCAAACGAAACTATTCAAGTACGAGGTTTTTGACACGTGCGATCGGACTTTGATCGTGCAAGATGTCGGGATTTGACGCAAGTATGCCGGACGCGAGTCTGTCGGACAATCTGTATCCACACAAACAGGAAGAGATCCTGTACAAGTGGAATATCGATGTTGTGTACGATGCAGTAGGGAATAATGCAAGATATCCCAAAGTACTGCATCCAACACAGAATTGTCGTAGAAGTCGAATCGAGTTCTGTAAACAAGGGATTTTCCAAGGGAAAATCGTTGAACTCCCTTTTGTGATTGAACCATCAATTCAAGCCAAACATTAATCAAATAGGAACAATTTCACTCAAAGTATATCTAGACACAGGAGAACTATTGTCGTGAAAGTGTTGTACAGTCAATTACAAATTTAGATTGCAGAGAGTTTGTTCTGAGCGCTAAAGGCACTCACAATAGAGCACATTTTGCTTTATTCTAACAGTCAGACCCTAATATGGCGGAAGACCAAGGTTCTAAAATCACCCACAGACCTAAAATACAATTTTTCTCCATACAAAAGTCTTAGCTTAGGTCCTTATCTTACATCCTATTGGGTGGGGTCATCATGATTATGCTCTAGACATTCACTGCAGTCGAGAAGGTAATTGATGCTTTGGACAGCAATTCAGATCATTGGTTTTTTTTGTTCCCTTATGAGTACAGTGTGACCTGAAATCACCCGCTCGAATTCTACCACCCTATTGACGGTTGACCTTGTGAAGGACAACCCCTGTGAACACAAATTCTCCATGTTGTACAGCATATTTGTCTTGTTTCTTTCTCTGGAAAAGATACTGCAGACCAATTTTCTTGGTCTACCCTTCCAAATCCCCACCAACAGAGTGGGAGCGCCAATCTGCCCATTGACAGATGATTTGAGAGAATTGCATTCAATTCTTTCCTTGGAAAAGGTACCCACAAAATTCCTCTGTATCCCAGGAGAAATCCTTGTATCTTGTTTGTACTTCCCCACCAACAGTGGGAGCGCCGATTTGTCCCCTGACATGATCAACTAGAGCAACTTTTTTCTTGAAAAATGCCTCAACGTGGTTCAAACTTATCTGACTAAAAGCAGCATAGTTCCTGGCCTCTACAGCCATATTACACCGGCAGTTGGATACTCTAGAAGTAGCATAAAAACCAATTAATGATTCAGTTATATATATCTATTCTAAAAGACTTGTTATCTACATGGAATGGGCAAAGCAAAAGCCTTGCACGAAAACTCAAATTTCCCAAAACTTTACTGGATGTTATGCAATCCAGAAAGGCCGGTACAAAACCCACGTACCGAACTCCCGCAGGATTCAGTATGGGATTTTCGTGGCGCTCAGACGTTTGATAGTCCAAGCGCACAATTCCATGTTTTCAGATTCCCTGCAAAACCGACTGATCCCCTGAATAAACGGATCAAACGGACATTTGTCCGTCTGTCCGATCGGACGTGTCGAACTGCTTCTGTCAAGGAGTTTCCAATGAATGGTCTCCAAGAGAGCAATTCCAACAATAGGATTTCCATTTCCGCACAGTGCAGAAACCAGCTTCCGAGTGAGAGGCAGCTTTTGATACAGAAACGTGTACCCCCAAGTCTCCCCCAAACATAACCTGTCTCTTCTTGTACTTCAAGAAAGATCGTAATGAGAATTGACTATGTATAGTTTACTATAGTGTTGATAGATCGCTATCGGAACAGGAGCTAGTATCTAGCCACCGGAGGGATACAAGAACTATGGGCGCTGAGGCACCCAAAGCTAGTTGTATTCATATATCTCTCCTGACATTTTCTTTTGGCATTCTCCACTCCCTACCGGTATCTTTTGGCGTATGCAATCAAATGCTTCCCCCAATTTTTCTTTCCCTTAAAGAAACCTTTTGGCTCCAGCTTCCGAATGCGGAAATGGAAATTCCATTTCTGCATGATGCGGAAATGGAAATTCTATTTCCGCACGATGCGGAAATGGAAATTCTATTTCCGCATGATGCGGAAATGGAATTTCAGAGTCGTGGATTCCAGATTCCACATCCGTTGTGTTCACTGTTGTACGAGGATGTAGTGCTCGCACAGCCGATTTGAATCGTGTGCAGATTTGGTTCGAGCTTTTTCATTCCGCGTGCAGACGACGATGACCGTTATTTTTTGATGCATTTGTGTTGGCACGCAACCCGCTTGAGAGAGCGGTGACACCCGTCTGTCCCCTTGTCCCTATTTATGAAAATTACCCTGTATTTATACCGATTAAATGTCCCATAACCAATTGTCCAATGGCCCCAAAAGACTCAAAATCAAAGTGTGATGGTGATTGCTGGAGTCATCCGCCCACCTCCTGATATCCGTGTTGTTGTGGATCGAACAGCAGCGTATGTCGCTAAGAATGGGAGAGCTTTCGAGGCTAGAATATTGAAGAGCGAGAAAGGGCGTACGCCCAAGTTTGCATTTTTGCAACCATCATCTCCGTTTCATGCTTACTATGAAGATAGGATACGAGTCTACGAAGTCGGTGGCGACGAAGAACCAAAAGAGAGCAAGGAAGAAACTAGTTTGAAGGACGAGAAGTTGAAATCGCAAGATAAGGCAAAGCAACAGTCTTTGGTGCGAAAAGAAAAGAAGCAGCACGCCACTGCTATTGATCCTGTTGCGAAAGCTGTCTTGTTGCATCGTGGGAGAATTACAAAGGAGAGGGAGAAAGAGAGCAGCCCTGCAGGAAAGACTGGTAATGACGAAGTAGTGCGATCTGAACCAACAAGTTTGTCTATAATGCACCCACTGAGTCTTATATCCATAATTGCTCCCTCGGATCTGTCATCCGTTCAAATCGAAACACTCCAGCTTGTTGCACAGTATGCTGCTTTGGACGGAAAAGGTGGCGCATTCTTGCACCAACTGAGTGTGAGAGAATGGAATAACAACCATTTTGCGTTCTGCCAGCCTCGGCATCCTCATTTTGCTTTTTTTAGCGCTGTGGTAGATGCATATAGCAACATAATTAAATTGTGGAGCGCTGGAGACCAGGTGACTATGGAGGAGAACAAGACATCGGTTTCCCATGCTTTGGATGAGGCGGCATATCGCGCTGAGTATGAAAGGGCAATGGCTCGGCTAGATTCGAATGCTGATGAAAAGGGACCCGGAGTTGATTGGCATGACTTTGTTGTCGTTGAGACTATCGACTTCCCAGTAGACGAAGTTGTTGAACTTTCAATGCTCCCACCACCACCACCAGCGCCAACTACAGGCGGCACGATTGCATACCCTACGCATGTCTCTGAGCTGGACGAGGGGGAAACGATTCGAGTTGTACCGTCGTACACACCAAGAGTTGTAGTTCCTGCAAGGCTTCAGGAGACGAAAGCCATCGATCCCATTACTGGCAAGAGTATTTCGGTGGCAGACATGCCAGAACATTTGAGAATCCAACTACTGGATCCAAAGTGGGCAAAGGATAAGAAAAAATTTCAAGATAAACAAAAAGAGAGCAACTTGGTGGGTGGGGATGCCATTGCAGCAAATATCACAAGATTTGGTGGACCTAGTGGTGCAAGTAAATTTGTAAGTCTCTCTCCTTGAAGGCGTCCGTCCAAAAGTGGAATTCTCATCCTATTTCTCCTTTTTTAGTTTGATACAGGTACCCAAAAGTCCCAAATGCTAGAGGACGGGATGGTTGCCGCTCAAGCTTCTTGTGCGACCAGCCAATGGAATCCTAGCATGCATGGAACAAGTTTCAACAAACATTCAGAAGGTGAATTAACAGCCATCGAGCCAGTTAGGAAACGCATGCGAATTGCAGAAGAAGGAAACGCTCCAACCACACACGAACCAAGTGATTATTCATCTTCTTTCATCCAAGACGCTCATGGCAAGTTACACTTGAATAACGTTCTAGAAGCAACAATGACAGTGAATACGGATAATGAGTTACTCTCTGCAGAAGATTTTCAAGCGTCACTCGGAAAACCTGAAGTCACAGTTCAAGTTCGAATTCCTAATGATCCTTCACAAATTGCGTGGAATTTCTACGGGCAAATTCTGTCAATGAGAGTTCACGTTATGACGAAGATAAAGGATGTGAAATCAGAACTTTCCCAAAGGCATCTCAATGGGATGCCTCCCAACAAAATACAACTTCGAGACACTAGCATTGGATTCTTGAAAGATAGTTCTACATTGGCATCGCTTAACATGGGGCCAACTGCCACCGTAGAAATGATCCCAAAAACGCGTGGTGGTAGAAAATGAGCACTACTTGGAAAGTTAATCTCGTTTCCTATGCCACTTGTCTGAATTTCGGACACAATGCTAAGACTGGGATTCCCGGCAAAAGTCGTTTTGCTGCATATTTTCATGTGTTTGTGTTCGTGGCCAACGGAGTTTCACGCGGTTAAATGGAGATTATTTTCCCGATTAAACTCTTTTTTAACGCCACTAATTTACAACGCCAGGCCTGCAGTTCTGGCGGCCCGTACGAAACTCTACGAAATTCAACGAAACTCTATGAAACTCAACGAAATTCAACGCTCAACGAAAGCTATGAAATCTCTCCGCAAGATAATTTTGTAAATCTGCAGAGTTGCTTGATCGGCAAGACGGGAGATGTATGGGCGTTTCCAGCTCTTCCTTAGTCTCAATTTCCGTCGTGTCGATTACAGCGCGTCGCTTCAGTGAAGTACACGGTTGGCGGACGGAGCGAAGAGTGTCGACAAAGAGGACGGAAGATTTGGAAAAGACATTGTTCGCAATGGGAGCTTGTGGGATGATGGAGGCGATAGAAGGAGTTTAGCGGCTCGGTCAAGACCGTCAGCTTTTTTGCTTTTCCCGCCCTCACCACCGTCTCTCTCATTTGCACCATAGCTCGGTAACCCATTTGGTCCGGGTTTGTCTGTCAATCCTATTGATTGTCCTTTTCGAATCCTATGATTCGACCTCGGTGCAAACCAGTCACTAACTTAGTACCTCGCTACTGTGCCAAACCTATTTGCTTCTTGTATGTAGCATCAGGCTTTTGCCACAGTTTCCATGGTAGCATACGTGCGCGATCTCTCCAGACAAAGACTACATCATGCGATTCAAGCCCAGGAGTGGAGGCGGCGCCGGGTAATCTTCG